GGACCATATTTCGTTCCCCTTATAACGCGTTCAGATCACAAAGGCTCCTCGCGTAGCTTAACACTGCTTCACACAACGCGTGACACTTTCATGAAATGATCTTTCTTGAAAAGTGAGCTCGGGACGCTTGTGTTCCATCAAAGAGGCCATGAAAAAAAGTTTAAACAATATAACAAAAACTGTGCTTTTATTTACAATGCCTAACTGAAAGGGGGCATGATTTCTTTACTCCCAACGTCTCTACTGAAAAGTGAAGCGCGTTTACTGCTTTCGATGACACAATGACCTTTAAACATAGGAGTTGCTCAAAGTCGCTTATTTTGTAGCTACATACAATTTTCTACTTATTACGCTTTTTCACTAACTTCATTGCTGTCATCTGTTTGTCTTCTCCATTTCAATTGGAGGAATTAGCCTTTGATCTTCTTCAGTTCACGATTGTCGTTATCCGAGCGAGCCAAAGCACTGTTTTTTTTCGCGATTCTTTACTTGCCGTTTCTGCGTCTTTTCGAGCTTACTGTTTCCTGCAGAAATACACTCTTCGGGCGATTTACAGAAGTTTTTTTCAACATTCCCTTAACAGGTGCTGCATTTCACATCACAACATTAGACAAAGCTACAATTTCACTTGTATTCTTCCTTGACTCGAATCGTGTTGAACCCGCGCCCGCAGCATAAAGTACCGCATGTCCCGTTATCCGCGGTTGCCATCGTGTTCCCGTTATAACACACCCTTTCAGAGGTTCCTGGCAAGCCTAAGTCAGGGTTTGAGACGCCGTAATCCGCGGACATTTGTAAAAACACGAGGCTGTCACGTGAAGACTTGTTCTTGGTCTTCTGGTTTGCCACCACAAATTTTTCCACTTCGGAGAAAGTAACCCTTAATAGTCGGCTTTCACAGTTGTGGGCTTGGAGGCCAAGCCTTTGAACAGGAGTGAGGCTAAGGGTGACCCTGTTGTGATGGAGACCTGTATCTAGTTAGCATGATAACAAAGTAATTTGCATTTGAAAAGCAGCAACATCTCTATCATAACAAGGTCACCCTAAGCCTCACTTCTGTTCAAAGGCTTGGCCACCAAGCCCACAACTGTAAAAAGGACTATTCCCAAAACCTTATATTTAATTCTCCCCTCTAGCTGCTACACATTTCCTTTAAATTAGTTACAAGAATTTGGTGTTAGATCATGATAACTTCTTCCTGATAAGTTTCAGTATTCTCAGTAACAATTTGGTGGGTCTTGTATGTATACTATGGGGGGAAGTTACGTGTTCATCACTTCTAGAAGTTAAAGGGTTAAGTGCACGGCGGCCACCCTACAAAACGTAGCTGTTTATGTAAGCTAAAAAAAGTAATAATAAATAAATAAACTTACGTATATGTGCACGATCCTTCGCAGTAAAGCACTATTTGAGCAATAGTGAAAATCAGACCTGAAAAAAATTTCAGGCCTGTACGGGACTCGAACCACTGACCTCTGCGATACTAGTGCAGCGCTCTACCAATTGAGCTAACAAGCCAACTGGGAGCAGGCCATCAAATTAATTCGACATAAACCCGTAGATGATAAATCAAACAACAACAAACATATGAAACATATGT